CTGATGACACCTGCGACGCCCCGCAGTGCTCCCCGGCCCCCGGATTCTTGAGCCCCTTCTTGGGCCCAGAGCTCATCTGTATGAGGGAGGCCCCAGGCCGGAAGTGGCCTCGCTGCCGGGGAAGTTCAGACTGGGGTTCTTGCTTCTGTTCGCCAAAGAGCATGGTCTCCTGTGCCACCCCCAAGAGGGACAGAGCTGGTTTCCGTCCTGCTCTGAGAGCTTCTCCGTCCTCACCTCTGTCCCAGGAGGTGGGAGCCGTCCTGCCAAGGACCCCTTGGTCCCTGCTGCCAACCAGAGGATGGCATTTCCTGCCATGGGGCAGAGCCTTCAGCTGCTTTCTGTCTCCACCATCAGCTCCAGGTCCCGAAGGGATGGGGAGCAAGGAGGCCACCCTCAGAGGTGACTTTGAAGGGTGGGCCTTTGGTGGCTCCACAGGGTGGCTTCCTGCTCAGCCAGCAGCCGGGGGTCTGAGCCTCATGCTGAGCACTGCGGCGCCTCCACCTGCTCTGCCAGCACCCCAGGGCAGGGGTGGCTGTGTGGCCGGGGGCTGACAGGATGACCTTGGGCCCCTTCCCAGGCCACCTTCTGCCTCCCGGAAGCCTCCCTGGCCTCCCTGGTTGGGTGGGAATGGGGAGGCTGCTGCTGGCTGCTCCTGAGGCATCGAGGGCCAGCGGCGCGTGGCCCAGGTCTGTCCAGGGCTAGTGCTCATCCCCTCCCACCGCCCAGCTCCTCCCTGGGCCCTCCCCCAGCACTTTCCTGTCCGTTGGAGCCACAGGTGTGGCTTTGGTCTTGGAGGTGCTGTCCTTGAGGATGGCGGCCCAGTGTGCCCTGCCTGAGCCCAGAGTTGCCCGCAGGGACACCCTCTTCCTGGCGGGGTGCTGTACACTGGCCATTTCCACTGCAGGCCAATTTCTGTCCCTTCCTGTCACCTGGCCTGTAAATGAGGTGGAGCCCTCAGAGTCGCAGGCCACCCTGAACATCCCGAGGGCCTGACCCCAACCCGCTTCGCACTTGCAGCCCCGCCCCAGGTGATGTCCCTGCTGGGGGCCAGGCCGCGAGTCCCGGGGGCCTGGGCAGGGACCAGCCTCTTCTCCAGCATCTGCTTCCCACTTTGTGTTGGTGGTGACTTCTGAAATGTCACAGTTTTCCAATATTTAACCAGGCAACATTTAAAATAACATCCAGGTGAATGTCTGTCATCTCTGTATTGACGTCTCTTCTGAAGCGCTTTGTGGTTTGACAGCTCATGTCCCAGATGGGAGTCCCTGGGCTCTTGGGGACATTGTCTCTTCTTGGGGGAGGAGGGGAAGGGCGCGTGGGGACCCCGGAAGCCTCCCCAGATGTCCTGCCAAGGGGAAAGCCGCCACACCTTCCCAGGGCAGGGTCCCCAGGACAGGCTCCAAGAATGTGCGGGGTTGCCCCCTGGTGGTGATAAGCGGTGACGGCATCTGGGGGCTCCCACCCCGCTCAGCAGGGGTGGAGTTCCAGGATGGACCGGCCCTGGGCTCCCTGGGCAGCTTGATGGCTGGGTGTCATCCAGGTGCCCATCTGCGTGGTCGTCCCAGGGGCTAGCAAGTCATTTGGCCCAAGGGCAGCGATGGGAAATCTTGCCCTTCCTCCCTCCCTTATTATTTTTTTAAAAATATCTGCGGAATAAACCCAGTGGTTACTTTTTGGATGAATAAAAGGCTTTTGTTGAATAAACAACTGGTCCCATCTCTGTTTCGCTATTGGCCTCCAGGCTCGTCCCCGCAGGATGTTCTCCCCGTCTCCCCAGCCGCCACTTCCTCCCGGACTTGGGGTGCGGCCCCCAGTTTCTCCATCCCCTCATGGGAAGCTGCCCACCTCCCCAGGCCGCTGAGAAGGACTCGGGGTGACAAAGGGAGGAAGCAGTGTGACCCGGCTGTGCTTGTTCGTGTCCTTTCCCGCTTGCCTTCCCAGCGCCCCCCCTCAGTCTCTTCGGGGTGCCGTCCTGTCTGTGTCTCTGGGCCGGGGGAGGCCCTTGCCTGGCAGTGCAGGCTGGAGTGACAGGGCTGTGTTGCACACCCTGGCCGCTGCCATGTGCCCTCTGTATGTCATCTGCATCACGCAATTAAATACACTTCCTGGACCTGTCCTCGCTGCGTGTGGGCTGTTGCTTTTGTCTGTTTCTGTTTCTCTGTTTTGCTTCATTGATGCCCTCCCTCCCAGCCCAGTGTCCCTGGGAGGAAGCCCGGACACAGGGAGTGGGGAGGGCGGCAGCAGGGCGCAGATCTGGTATCTCCTTCCCCCTGCTCTGGCTGGTGGGATTCCAGGGCCATGGCTGCCTTAAGTTTGTGAAACTGGACAAGGTGGTGCCTGCTAGTAATCCCAGCACTCTGGGAGGCTGAGGCAGGCAGGTGGACTGAAAGTTGGATCCCAGCCTGGGCAGCCTGGGGAAACCCTGACTCAAAAATTGGCTGGGGATGCAGCTCAGTGAGAAGGCCCGGGGCTCATCCCGGTGTTCTTGCAAGGTAGTTTGGTTGGAGCTGGGCTGGGCCTGAGGAGCTGGATTCCCGACAGATTCTCAGCTTGGCTGACATCGCTGGCGTGGGTGGCACTTTGAGAGCCCCTGGCGCTGTAGGACACCCCTGGCCCAGGGCTTTGGCTGATCCTCTGCTCACCTGCGTGAGACTTCTTCTCCTGTGCTGTCCTGGGTGCCCAGAGCCCAGAGGCGGGTGGCTGACCCCACAGGCTGGGACAGGACGGGAGGTGGGTAACTGCTGCCCTCGGTGGGACCTGGGATCTCGGGGGAGCCTCCTCTCCACTCTGGACGGTGACCTTGCTTGCTTAGTGTGTCTGGGCCTGCCCTGTTGGACACAAGGGATCAGAGAAGTGACAGTCCTTACTTTGGAGCTTGAGGTGGACACATTAATTCAGGGGATGATAAAGGGCAACAGCAAGCCAAGAGAGTAATTGCCACTTAGAAATCTATTGTTCTTAGCTGGGCAGACTGATGCACACTTGTAATTCTAGGTACTCAGGAGGCCAAGGCAGGAGGATCCCAAGTTCAAGGCCAACATGGGAAGACCCTGTCTCAAAATTAAAAAAAAAAAAAGTTTTTAAGTAAGAGCTAGGCATGTAACCCAGTGTGAACACCTGGGTCCAATGCTCAAAAACAGAAGAAATCTGTTGCTCTAGGCTCAGGCTTTTGGAGTTCACGGGAAGCATGTGGGTTGACAAGATCACTGCCTACACCAGGACCAGCCTCTGCCTGTAAAACTGAGCTGCTTGCGTTACTGTGAAGGAAATCTTCAGCACCAGCCATGTGGCGGCAGAGCCGGAGGACCTGACACACCTCCCACCTCAGGGGCACCCTCAGCGCTGCTTGGCCTGGTGGGACTTCTCCAGAATCCGGGCAGTGTGGTTTCCAGAATCAGAGTCCCCGCCTGACTTGGCCATGGGTTCTGTCTGCCAGTGGTAAAAATGGAGACCCCGCAGTGTGAGTCTTTGCAGTCTTAATTCCTGCACAACGGAATTTCTACCATTCTTGGTGCTAATAAACACACTCTCAGGTGTAAACCTTAATAACTGCATATTTAAGGGGATTTAGCTCAGTGGTTCTGCCGCCTGCCTTGCAAGGGCAAGGATCCGAGTTTGATTCGCGGTACCAGAAAAAAAAAATGTGCTCAGAATAGCTATATTTAAGATACTAAGCTAGGCATGGTAGCACAGACCTGTAATCTCAGCACTCAGTAGGCTGAGGCAGGAGGATCGCCGGTAGTTCAAGGCCAGCCTGGGCTAAATAGTGAGTTCAAGTCTAGCAGGAGCTACATAGTGAGACTCTGTCTCAAAGAAACAAAACAAAACAAAAATGGTGATGGGGCTGTCTTGCTCCGGGAATTCTGGACTGCAGCACTTGGTCAGGGCAGTGGGCATGGAAAGGGCCTTGAAAGTCACCTGAGTTTAGGTAAAATGAGTTTAAGTAGGTGTTACAGAGCCTTCTACTTGTTCCCTACGTCTCTTTTTAGCCATGTGGAATAAAGGACTACATTTCCCAGCCTCCTGGCGGGGTGGGGTGCTGAACATGGTGATGTGACACAGTGCTAGCCAATGGGATGAGAGTGACCAGTCCTACCTCCCTCCCGTCTTTTCTTTTCTGTAGGTTGGGACCAGGTCTTCCTAGAACCAGATCCCCGAGCTTATGAAGCTACCACACCGGTCCTGGGCTGTCAACACTGGGACTGTGACAAGGAAGATAATATATTTCCAACTCATTTAAGCCATCTGGGGCCTGTGTCCCAACAGACTGACCCTCCGGTCACTCTAAATGATTCCATGCCACCTACAGATATTCGCCTATAAATCCTCAATGTTTGCCAAAGTCATCTAATGCAAGACTGCAGGTGTAGTGTGCGATGTCTCGCCCTCGCACGCGTGTCTTCCCAGCCCTTTTCCTTCCTTCCGAGGACCCCTCTACCCCAAGGTTCACGATGGGCAGCTCAGCCAGACGGATTCTGGGGGATGTTTTCCTCTTGCTGAAGGACAGGGATCCAGAGGCTCTGGATCACCAGGGGACCCAGGGAGATCCCAGAAAACGAGGCCAATTGGGTTTTCAGCCACTGGGAAGCCATGGCGAAGGGGCAGGGCAGGGTGGCCCCAGGCTGGGCTCAGGAAGGACTTTACCAGGGGCTCAGGACTTAGGACCGGTCCTCACAGTCTGTTCAGTCTCCTGCCTCACATAACGGACCCTTTTCCCAGAGACCCCAAAGAAGCCATTCACGAAAACAGATCCTGAGGGTGAGGATGTGATGAAGAGGAAATAGGTGTTTTGGGGGTTCAGGAAACAAACTGGGCAACAGTCAAGTTTTTACCACTATGCTAGGCTAAGGGCTGGTCTCAGGGTAATTGCTGGACGTCGGCTGTCCCAGGGGCGGGGGAGAAGGCAAGCCTTTGTGATGCTGGAGGACGTCCCTGTGACTTCAGGATCCTGAAGACCACACTGATGTGCTGTGTCAGGTCACAGACCAGGCTGGGACGTTGCCTGGGGTGCAGGTGCCGAGGGCCAGCCTGAGAGACGGAAGCACCCCATCACCAGGGAAATGCAGGCCCACCCTGAGATTCAGATTCTGAACCAAAGCTGCCAAATCTCATCATAGAATACAACACAGACATTGTCAAAGGGGTTTCTAGGGAGAAGTTGGAAGCTAAATAGGGTCCTCAGCTTCTGGAGGTATGGACAAGAGCCCAGTATGTAAGTGTTCAGCAGGCATAACCCCAATCTCAGGCCTTGCATGTGCAGCCTGGGTCAAAGGTGCAACACACACACACACACACACACACACTCTAGAACGCCAGACACAGGTGGGCATTGTGGGCACCCTATTGGTTAGAATTGGTTCACATGACCATGCTCAGCCACAAGGGAGACTGGGAAATGTAGTCCTTTATTCTATGTGGCTTCATACCTATCTAAAAGGAGACGCAGGGCGAGAGGAACGCAGCTGAGATGAGTGACTGAAGCATCAGATTTTTCTAGTGAGCGAATCCGTACAGAAAGAAGAGGCCATGAGGTCACCTCCAGGAGGTGGCATGGGCACTGCACAGGTACTCTGAGCACACAGCACGGAGGCACTTTCCGTTTCTTGGAAAGACTGAGAAGATGTGTCTATCTGTGTGTCTGTCTCTTTCTCTCCCTCTCTCCTGTGGTGAGGATGGAACCCAGAGCCTCTCACACACTAGGCCAGGGCTCACCACCGAGCAACTCCAGCCCTTTTTATTTCACCCTGAAACAGAGTCTGGCCGTGAACTGGTGATCCTCCTGCCTCAGCTTCCTGAATAGCTGGGTTGTCAGGCGAGTGCCACACACCCAGCTAGGTTGGCTCTTCTCCATAACTGCCTGCATTAACAGCCAAGGGGTGACAGTACGAGTCCTGTACTCACAGTAGCCAACCCTAGACGCTGTGGCTCTCGGTTCCCTGCCATATCACGTTTAATCCTTACAACAGCACCCCCTTCGGACAGGTCCTAGTATTACACCTCACATTTCCGCTCTCCCGGCTCACCAAGGGGCTTCCTGGCTCTGGGAAGGGGCAAGGCATTTGGAGCAGCTTCAGCCAGTTGCCCGAGGTCTTCGGAAGGAGCCCATCCGGGGATCCTGAGGCAGGAGGGAGCTGGAGGTGCAGAAGGAGGTGGGTGCTGGGCAGGGGCAGGGCTGGCCGGGGTGGGGGAGTCCTACTCGGGTCTGCCAGGTCCTGGGCCACTGGATTCTGTGCTGTGCGGGCCCAAGGTGCTGCTGTCACCATTTCCATTTCTGGTCAAGGAGACCGATGGACCTGAATCACAGAGGTTGGGTGACTTGCCTAGGGCCACACAGCCAGTGGACGGCCGGGTAGGGGCCGGAGGCCCAGCCTCCTGGACACAGCCCCTCGATAGCCACTGTCCTGTGACTCATCACCTTTGGCCTGTTGTCCTCTCCGTGGGTGGCTGAGAACCAGCACTTCCCAGAGGCTGGGATTTTCCATCCTGGCATGGGGAAAAGCCTCCATGTGTGTGTGTGTGTGTGTGTGTATGTGTGTTCAGGGACTGAATCGAGGGCCTTTGCACTGAGCTACAACCCAGCTGTTTTTTGTTGTTGTTGTTTAATTTTTTTTTTTATTTAGACGGCATCTAAGTCACTAAATTGCCCAGGCTGGGCTTGAACTCACTCTCCTGCCTCAGCCTCCCCAAGTGCTGGGATGGTGGGTGTGTGCCGCGGTGGCCAGCTGCAGTGCCTTCGTGCAGAGGGAGATGAGGCAGATGCTTGGCTCCCTGGAAGTGGGCACCCAGGGGCAGCCTCCGCGGGCTTCTGTCCTCTCCCTGCCGCGGCAGAATGTCAGTGGCCGAGACACCCTGGTGACACAGGGGAGCCCGGGACCTGGCCACACCCTTGCCTCCTGCGCAGCCTGACTGGTGGCTGGCGTCCCCTCTGCCCACCAGCATGGCTGTGGGGTGGGTGACCCGGTGTTGGATGGGGCTGCACGGTTTCCCCATCTGGGCCGTGGGGATGACAGGCGCATTTCTCCCAGTTGTGGGTGAGCTGCAGGGAAACCATGCGGAGATCCTCAGGATCGGGGGGCCCTGATGTCCCACCTCCCTGTGCACTCCCGTGTCGCCATGCCTACGCTTGGCCCGGCATGGGCCTGGCTTGTGGCTCTTGGCTTTGTCATTCCTGGGGCCCCTGCCCAGGCTGTGCTCCACACCCCGTTCCAAGTCTACCCTGGGGAAAGGACCTGAGGTCAAAGCCTGTTCTGTGCCAGCCGCGGCTGAGGGAGGGTCTCGCTGTGCCCTGCCCCTGCTCTGCCCTGGACCCACCGCTGAAGCATCGAAAAACACTAGGCACCCTTCAGGGGTGAAGAGACCACTCTGTGCCAATGCCAGGGAGAAGGCACCGCCTCCTGGCTGTTGTGGATCAGGGAATTATGGTCTTTGTCCTCACAGGCAAAGAGTGTTTTCTGTGTAGTCCAGGTGGGCCTCAAACTCACCATGTAGCCCAGGCTGGCCTGGAACTCATGATCCTCCTGTCTCAGCCTCCTGGATTGCAGGCATGCGCCACAACACCCAGCTCTATCATGGGCTGCACCCCCCAGAGCCACTGCATGCACCGCCTGTCACAAGGTCAAAAGACTACCAGACCAGCATCTGCTCAAAGTGGACTCGCTCTGCCCTGCCCTGTCCTTTCTCCTAGTACTGCAGATTAAACCCAGGGCCTTTGTGCTGAGCTATATCCCTAGCCCTTTTTATTTTTCATTTAGAGACATAGTTTCATTAACTTGTCCGGACTGGGCTTGAACTTGAAATCCTCTTGCCTCGGCCTCCTAGAGTGCTGGGATTACAGACGTGCATGGGCACACCTGGCCTGTGTCTGGTCTCTTTCACTGAGCATGATGTGCAGTAGGGCTCAGGACTCCCTTCTTTTTTATGCGTTCTGTAACCGTGCAGATCTGGTGGGAGGGAAGGAGCCCCTTTCCACGATGGGTCTGATTAAGGACTGGTCCCCAAGTGGGTCCTTTGTATAGAATTATACTTGGTGCATAATTCTGCTTATGCTTAAGCAGAAATGACTACTGATGCCATTACAGCCCTGCTCTGATGGCCTATGGCTCATTGCTGCCCCTGTCATGCCGGGAACTTGATTTTGGCACCAGTGCCAGTAAGGGCCACCAGCTTCTTTGTGACTGGCTGCAAACTCTGAGGCCAAGAGGGCAGAAAGTTTTTTTTTTTTCTGAGATGGGGGCCTTGCTATATATAGGCTGGCCTTGAACTCACTATGTAGTCCAGGTTGGCCTCCAACTCAAGGTGATCCTCCCGCCTCAGCCTCCCAAGTGCTGGGATTAGCTCATTGCTCTACAAGAAAGATAATAGGTTGGGAAGGGAGAGGACAGCAGAGTCAGGCAGAGAAAGGGAAATTTGGAGAGGCTGCCACAAGCCGAGAGGCCCTCAGGGGAGCCTCTTGGGAGGTTTTGCAGTGTTATGGGGCGTCCCTTCCCCTAATGCTACAAGCGTCTTCAGCAGGGACCAACCTGAGCCTCTGCTGCCTCTGAGTCACACGTGAGTTTCTTTCAGCTGTGCACCTCCCTGAGTGAGGCCTGAAGGTCAGGCAGAGGCCAAGCTATCCAATTCAAGGCCTTGGCCTGAGGACACCCCCCAGGAGCCTGAGGTTGAGCTCCCTGTGCCAGGAGGGGAGACTTGGCCAGGAGGCTGCACCCTGGGAGTGGGGGGGCTCTTTCACTATTGAAGAGCAGCGCTTCCCCGGAGCCCTAAGCGGTGCAGTTGTTTTCATGTAAAAAATGTGTCTTTTCCTCTTTCAAATTTACCGAGCTGGGAGGGTCCCCTTGGGGTGGGGCCTTACACAGCGGTTTGGAAAGCAGAGGAAAAGGCCCAGCCCAGGTCCTCAGCCGCCTCTTCCCACCGCTGCGCTGCCTGAGCTGCAAGAGGGAAGGAACTAGAGGGATCGCTAGTAACAACAGCTTGCTGGATGCGGCGATTATTGGGCATTTGCTCAATAACGCATGCTGAAAGTGTTATGGGAGCAGGGCCTCCGAGGGTGCCAGGCTTCCCTCTATCCCTCTCTGCTGTTTGAGCCTCCAAACCCAGGCTCTTCCTTGGGGTAGGCACGGCCCTCAGCAGGCCCCGTTCCTACCCTTCCCGTCTCAGCCCCCTGAAGCAATAACGATGTTGATTGGCTCTGACTGGGTCATGTGTCCATATTTGGACCAATCACTATGGCTGGAGAGTTGCAACAATATGATTGGTTACTCCAGGTCACACGATCATTATGGCTTTGATGTCTATGGGGCTCCATTACTCAAAGGAATGGTGCAGCATCCTTAACCGCAAACAATATAAGCCACATTTTGCTGACTGAAACAGTGCTAGTGGGTGCTCACGTGTGAACTATAAAATTATGCTTGGTGCTACCCAAGCAGAAACAAGTGCTGACGCCATCACGGCCCTGCTCTGATGACCGTATCATTGCTGCCCCTGTGATGCCAGGAACTTAATTTTGGCACCAGTGCCAGTAAGGGCCACCAGCTGCTTCGTGACTCTGGCTGCAGACCCTGAGGCTGGGTAGGCAGATCTTGTGACACTACTGCCTCTACTGCAAAGGAGGATGGGAAAGCGAGTATTTGGTACCTGAGCTCCGTACAAGAGACGAGGTCTGCTTTCCGCTAAGCCTCAGAAGGAGGGCTCCCGAAGGTGATTTTTGGACGGCCCAAACTCACAGCCAGTGTACTCGGCGGAGTGTGTGTTGCCTGAGTGTGCGGTGAGCACTGCCCGTTTTGGCGAGAGGCTTTCGTCCCTGCAGTGTGGCCTGGTTCCCACGAAATGTCAGAAGAAAATAATCAGATTCCCTTTGGTAAGAGAGTCTGTCCCATAAATCTTGGCCTTTGGCAAGCAGCTTCGCTTTGTGCTCAGAAGGTCATAGCTCATTGTCTGGGCTGGGAGCACCATTTCTCTTCAGATTTTCCAAATAGAATTTCTTGGGACTCAGTCCCAGGCACCGTTAATCTAAACATTTTTAATCTGGTTGCTTTTACAATTCTCTGCTTTCGTCAAAGGTCAGCTTTCAGGGCTCAGTTGTTCTGAGAGGTCCGTTTCTGTGATTGACACCGTCTGGGTGACACTGGATTCTTTGGTGGGGACTTCCCGGGGGCAAAGTGAGTTGGTGTGTACTTAAAGAAGGCTAACAGGGAGGGGCTGGGGTATTTTCATCGTGACAAAGTGCACGATGCCGCAGCATTTCCTACTCACAGAGCTGTGCACTATCACCCCGATCCCCTTCCAGAGCACCTTGGACACCCTAGAAGGAAACTCCGTACCCAGTCACAGTCGGCCCAGCCCTCCTGCCCCAGCCTGGGTTAGCGCCAGTCTGTTTCCTGTCTCTGTGGGTTTGCCTTTCCAGGGACAGCCAGACTCTATTCATATGATTCTGCCTAACGGGAATTACACAGTGCATGGCTTTTGTGCCTGCCTGCTTTTACTGAGCATCACGCCTTCAAGGTTATGGAGATGATCGGTGCTTCGTTCCTTTTTTGCTGCTGGGTAACGTTCGGTTGTACGATCTACCTGCCCTGTGCTCATGCACTCGATCATCCATGGCCGTTTGGGTTACTTCCACCTTAGGGCTGTTGGAAATAGTGCTTCTGTGAACGTCTCAAACAAATCTTTAGACCACTGTTTTTTGAGTCCATCGGGTATATCCTACGAGTGAACTGCTGGGCCCTTCCGGAATGGCTAATGCCCACTGAAGTTTTCTGAGGAGCAGCCGTGCTGTTTTTCTCACATTTCCCACAGTCCTGCACTGTTCCACTTGCCATTTTGAGGGGTTTGGAGTGACCCCTCCGGGCTGCCGTGACGCTTGGAGATAGATTCTGAGAATCTTCCCGTTGACCAAAGCTCTTCTGCTGAACAGAGCAAGCTGGTGAGCTAGGGACGTCTTGTGGGACCCAAGGACGATGTGACAGGGGCTTCTGGAATGCGTCCCCACCTTTGTTTTTCAGCACAAAGGAAGTGGTGCCACTGGTGGGCATGCAGGCTAGGTGGGGAGTTTGGCTGTGACAGGAGGAGTGTCCTGCTTTGGGGGCAGGTTGGGCCTTATGATTTGCCAGCTTTTATGGCTTTGTTCTCGACATGGGTACTGTCCAGTTCTGACCACCTTCCTTGTAAACCTGGCCAAATTATTCAACGAGTGGACATCCAGATGTGATGATGCACACCTGGGATACTGGCACTTGAGAGGCTGAGGCAGGAGGATTGCCGTGAGCTTGAGGCCAGCCTACATAGTGTGTTCAAGGCCGATCTTAACAACAGCAACACAAAAGAGTCAAAGGTAGGTCCTTTGAGGACACATTTTCATGGGTTACTTTCTGCTGGGAACAATCCAGGATTTTCCTCAGAAGGTCACGGCACCTGCTGCGCGTGCGCGTGTGTGGGGTGGGGTGGGGAGGTTGATTCCAAAGTCAACATGTAAGGAGAAATCTAGGTGTAGAACACATTGCTCGGGAACCCCTTAACCTCTACATGCAGGGCAGTGTGCGTGGTTTGTGTTTATGGCCCCACTAGAAACAGCTAAGTTAAATGTCTCGGGAAGATAAGAGAGCAGACGACATTTCCTGAGAATGCTTTAGGGTGCCAGTAACAGAGGTCTTAATGCAGTCAGCTTGACTGCGAAGGGAACCCCAGACTGGGATAAGAAGAGCGTCATCTGCGGGCAGCTCCGAAGCGGTGCTTGTCGCGGGTCAGCTTCAGGCTGCCTTTCTTTCCCCAGCCCCTGTGGGACATCCCATCGTGGGGCTTGCGGAAGAGGCGGGCCTTTGCTCTCTCCCCTTTGTCTCTCTCTCTTTTTTTTTTCCCAGAAGCTTTCTAATTCGGTCTGTGAATCACCAAGATCAGTTTTTGTGCGTGGTGTGAGGTAGGGATTCAGAATCACTGTTTTTCCATATAGGCATGCAGTTGTTCCAACACCATCAGCTGTGAAGACGGACTTTCCTGTGGGCACCTTTGTCAAAAATCAGTTGACAGCCGGGGACTTAGCTCAGTGGTTCCGCCGCCTGCCTGGAAAGTGCAAGGACCCCGTCCCTGGTCCCCCCCCAAAGTCAATTAACGATCTACATGTGGATCCAGTCTGGGCTGTCCAGTCTGTCCCGTGGCTTCTACACCAGTCCCTCTTAATCACTGTGGCTTTAGATTAAGCGGTGGAGCCAGGCAGAGCAAGGCCTCTCTGTTCTGGAGACCCTTAGTGTGTGAGCCTCCAGGTCCATTTCTGGCCCCGTTATCGGCAAGGGGCTGGGACAGTGATGGGGCCACATGGTGACCTCGTGCCCAGCGTTCTCGGCACGGGGAGGGGGGAGGCTGAGGACAGGCTTTCCAGGAAGGAGCAGGGCCAGGGGTTAGGGGAGAAGCCAGCAGCACCTGCCAAACTGTGCGACACAGTGCTGAGGAGGATTTAATTAGGAGAGAGAAGGTAGGAGAGCAAAAGGGACAGGAGGCAGCCCCAGCTCCCTGCGGACATTCGTGCCAGACACCGGCGACAGGGGCTGGGCCAGCACACAGCGGAACGGTGGGGGGGCTCCCCCATCCCGAGACAGACGGGGCTCAGTGGC